AATCATTGATCAGCTGCCTCCTGCATGCCTCCCACTGGGGACCGAGCCCACAACCCAGGCATGTGTCCTTGACCGGAATCAAACCTGGGACCCTTCACTCAGGAGGGCGATGCTCCAGCCACTGAGCCAAACCAGCTAGGGCTAAATTTATTTTCAATTATGGTTGACACCCGCCACATTCTTTTAAAATCAAACATTTGCCCGGTCATTGTGGCACAGTGTCTGAGCAGGGACCTATGCACCAGGAGGTCAAGGTATGATTCCTGGTCATGGCACATGCCTGGGTTTCCCACTTGATCCTGTGAGGGTCATGCAGGAGGCAGCCTTTTCATATTTCTCTCATTCTTGATGTTTCTATCTCTCTCTCCCTCGCCCTGCCTCATTGAAATCAATACATAAGATATATTTTAACTAAAAAATCAAACATTTATTATATTTCCCAATCTATGAAAGTGATTCCTACAAAGTAAAACACTAGCACAGAATCACAGTTGATTCTAGTCAATCTCATTGCCAAGAACAGTCATTAAGCAAAGTGACATAAAAATGAATTAGTATACAAGTGACTTTGCTGCTAGATGACTAATGAAATCACTAAAAACTACTTCAATTGAGTTGTAAGCTCAGGTATTGTTACCGGGACACCTCTGGGTGGGCTCAGGCTGCCTGTCGCTGTGTCCAATAACGAAGGCAGGGTTGAATCATATTAGGCGTTAATTGAGAAGGCTAGACAGCCAAGAAGACAGGGTGCTTACAAGAATCATATCCTGTCTCCCAGCAAGAGTATTATAAAGGGGAAGGGGCTGGGGTGAGGAATGCAGCTATGTGCAGGCCTGGGGGTCCTCAGACATCAGCTACTGTAATTAGTCATCAGGCCATGAGATGATGTTGATGAGATGATGTTTTGACTCCTGGTGGGTTGGCTTGACCATGCTGGTGGGTTCTGCTTGTTGGATTCACAGTTGAGTCCACTCCTCAATCACTTCACACAGGCCTTGAAAAGGAAACTTGAAGAAAAACTTAACTCCCTGTTGATACATAAGAAACTTAACCCCTTATTCACATAAATATATGTGTTCTGAGATTAAAAATAACATGATTACTTTTCAGATTCATACAGGTGCTCTATTAGATTATAAGTCCCCCCTATCAGTATAAGACTGCTTTTGGTTCAGTGACCAGAGGAGACCAGAATATAAATTCCTAAAATGTCCTATTCTAAAAAATACCATCAATGTAGAACAATCATCTCCTTAAGTCAATTCCATTGGGATTCTGTTTCCCCCCACAAAGTGTCTCTGTCTTCTAACCTTTACTACACACTGAAATAGGATTTACAATCCCAACAGTGAATACATTACAAATAGGATAAATTAGCCCTGGAGAAGACATATATTTTCTGGGAAATGTTCGTAGAAAATGAATGTGAAAGGTCCTTTGGTGACAACTCAGAGGAAAATGAGGAAAGTGTTATATGATGCTGAAGAAAAGGTGGTTGTTGTTGTAAAGGGCCAGAAACCATAGCTTAGTTGTGTAGTACTGTTGTGTGGAAGGCAGACTTTGTAAGTGATAAACTGCTAAGGAGAGTAATTCTCTGGGGGTGGAGTCTCTATCATCTGGATCCATATTATTCCTATTTTAAGAATTACAGTTCATGTACCATGTATAACTGAAATTTAAACCAGTGATGTACTTGGGTTGTTTAAGTAACCATACCAACTGAATTTTGTGCCTGTTGAAACATTGTTACATATGAATTGCCTTTGTGAGTTTCTGCTATAAACAGAAACTCTCCCTCTCCCTCTCCCTCTCCCTTTCCCACACTCTAAAAACAATAAAAACATTTTTTAAATATATATTTGTATTGATTTCAGAGAGGCAGAGAGAGATAGAAACATCAATGATGAGAGAGAATCATTGATTGGCTGCCTCCTGCACGCCCCCCCACTGGGAACTGATCCACAACCCAGGCATATGCCCTTGACCGGAATCGAACCCGAAACCCTTCAGTCTGCAGGCTGACACTCTATCCACTGAGCCAAGCCAGATAGGGCTCAATAAAAACATTTTTAACAAACAGATCCTAAAAACTATTTTTTAAAAGGTAGCTAGGAGCTCTAGCTGGTTTTGCTCAGTGATTAGAGCATTGGCCTTCAGATTGAATTGCCATGGGTTCCATGGGTTCCAGGGCACATGCTAGGTTTTAGGCTCTATCCTCAGTGGAGGGCGTGCAGGAGGCTGCCGATCCATGATTCTCTCTCAACACTGATGTTTCTGTCTTTCTCTCCCTCTCCCTTCCTCTCTGAAATAAATGAAATATATATTTTTAAAAAAGGTAGCTCTGAGGCTACTTGTCAACAGAAGTCTCTCCCAATTATGTTTTTTATGCCATTATATTCAGACACTAGTTTCAATGATTCTTTTTCTAATGAATCACCATTTTTCAAAATAATAGTGCTTTATATTTCTAACAAATAAATGTTTTAAGATTTTACTTAAATATCTTCTTTATAGGTGACGTTATTGAACAACTGCTATAGGGTTAAGTCAAACTACTGTAAATTCCTATGGTAATATTTTTACCAGCTCTAAGGACTTTTCATTCTAGCACTCATCATTAATGTACATTTCACTGATGTCTAATTGGATTCAGGAGTTATGGCAAACAATAGCTTTTCACCTCATAGTACATGCATTCGTCTTCACCCCTTGCAGCGTAGGGCCTTGCAATGACTTCTAGAAAATGGAAAAAGAGAAAAGTGTGTCTTTTCTTGGTGTTGGCCTTCAATGCTCAGGGTGGCCCTTCAATGCTCCCTCTTTCTCTAGCTGTACTGACCCAGTGCTGTGACAACACATGACTGAGTGAGTTAGATCCATGGGTGGGTAATGGAGCAGCGCCCTGCTGGCTTATATTACACTTTGCAAGAGTAAGCATCTGAGCCCAGCCGGGTGTAGGTCAGCGGTTGAGCATTGACCCAGGAACCAGGAGGTCACCAGTTTGATTCCCGATCAGGGCATATGACCAGGTTTCGGGCTCGATCCCCAGTGTGGGGTGTGCAGGAGGCAGCCAATCAATGATTCTCTCTCATCATTGACGTTTCTATCTCTCTCTCCCTCTCTGAAATCAACAAAAACATATTTTTTAAAAAAGAGTAAGCATCTGAGATTACCACAGCATAGCATGGCTACTCTGGTCAGTGCAAGGGTTCTCTTGTACCTCAATAAAAGCTCTGCTGAGCATCTTTTTTAAGTTATGGAGACACAAATAGTACAGAGATATGCATAGTAAAACTTTATTTCCAAACATTGTAAACAATACCATACAGGTATCCATACAGAAGCATGTTCTCAAAGGTTGACAATTTCCCATAAGGTCAAAAATGAGCATGTGACCTTTACAGGTCATACAGTGGTTGTAAAATGTAGGTTTATAGCCCTGGCCAAGTGGCTCCGTTCCTTGGAATGTCTTGTCACACAACAAAAAGTGGGCAGGTTTGATTCTCAGTCAGGGCACATAGGCTTCGGGTTCAATCCATGTTCAGGGTGAGTTCAGGAAGCAACTGATGGAAGCTTCTCTCTCACATTGATGTATCTCTCACACACACATACCTCTCACTCCCTTCCTCTTTCTATATATCAATAAACATCATTAGGTGAGAATTTTACTTTATTTTAAATATATTTTTATTGATTACAGTGAGGAAGGGGGAGGGAGAGTTAGAAACATTAATGATGAGAGAGAATCCTTGATAGGCTGCCTCATGCACACCCCATACTGGGGGATTGAGCCCACAACCTGAGCATGTGCCCTGACTGAGAATTGAGCCAAACTGTGACTTCCTGGTTCATAAGTTGATGCTCAACCACTGAACCATTCCATCTAGGCTCAGATGAGAATTTTTAAAAAGGTATGTTTACAGTTGTTAGCATGCAAAAGTTTATTCTCGTATTATTTGTTATTATTGTAAATATTTGTAACATTATTGTCAACCTGCTTTTGCTCAGCCTTGCACATGACATTTTTAAAATATATTTTATTGATTTTTTACAGAGAGGAAGGGAGAGGGATAGTTAGAAAGATCCATGAGAAAGAAACATCAATCAGCTGCCTCCTGCACACTCCCTATTGGGGATGTGCCCACAAACAAGGTACATACCCTTGACCAGAATTGAACCTGGGACCCTTCAGTCCTCAGGCCAACGCTCTATCCACTGAGCCAAACTGGTTAGGGCCGTGCACATGAAATTTTTATAAAACAGGCAGAATATTATAAAACAGGAGACAAACGCAAGACGATTAGAATTCCCCAAAAAATTACATGGAAAATAATAGTCAATAGAATGTTTCTTATGGAAACTTCTGACTTAGGTCAGTCAAATCTACAACACAGCCTCCATAAAACTCAGCAAATGCAGCACAAACTGCAAGGACACCCTTGCCTAGAGAACCAGGGTGTGTTACCACACAAAGCCAGAGGAGGAAGCCCTGGTGGGGTGCTTCATATCTGGAAAAATCCTGCTCACAATGTCAATGGTGGTGACCAGCTTACATAGGCAGGGTGGAAGCCATGCAAAATTGGTTTCAAATGTTCACACTGATGATAACATATCAGAAGAATATGAAAAGTTTATTACTCACATGATGAGGTTTTCAGGGGAGAGAAGGGTGGATATTAGAATAGGTCCCAAAATGACTGAGAGCAGAGGGAAAGGGGTCTAGCTTGTGGTGTTCATGTTGGTTACTGGGTGCTGTTGTTGGGAGCCTGCTGACACTGATGGAAACTTGCTTGATTGGAACTTCCCCCCTGCACCCAAGGATAGAGCACCTGGACTTTCTCATTAGCTTTCCCAGGTGTAAGGTTAGGGAGGAGAGAAGGGCGAGTCCTTAAAGCTTTCAACATTCAAAAATCAAAACTGGAATCAGGATCTTTATAAGTATTCTTTTCAATAACAAGGGAAGAAACTAAGCACATACAAAATTTCTTCCAAATTGTTCATCACTAGACTCTGATGATACTGATTGTAAGACTTTCTGGAGAAGATGCAATGGAGAAATAAGGCATAAGTTTCTCTGTAAACATGTCAGTAAATGCAAACAAGTATGACCTGTTATTCAAATTATAAAATGAAACCTCTCCCAACTCATAGTCCAGAAAAATGCCAATCTTATGATGTTCTAAAAGGCCAAATATACCAGCCCGCTGCTTATATCGCCAGCAGCCATTGCTTGGCAATGGTTTTATGGGAGTATTTCTGGGGAAAGATTCTTTACACACACCAAAGGACCATGCACCTATACCTCTTACTTCTACCTGCCAAAAATGCCTGCCAGCATCAAATCCCTCAGAACTCAGGACAGCTGGGTAAGAAGTGTGTGCCTGGGGATTAGAAAGACCAACTGATGTCCTATAGGTCACACTTTTTCTATCTCTTGAGATAATGAGATTTGGATGGGCAGTTTCAGGATCCAGTGTCAAATCTGCCTGAAACATGTGGATCATTTTATACAGGCCCACATAATGTGGGGGGAGAGTGAAAATCTTCTTCTTTAATTCACATGAAAACACTGCTGGGGTCTCTAGCTTCTCATACCTATTGTGGATATCTTCAATACCTGTGAGTAAATCCACATCTGCTTGCAAATACTTCTCTGCTATTTCAGTTAAAAGCTTGTTTAGTATGAACATATGGTTTGAAACTTGCCTTCCATTTTCAGTTAGTTTTTCTTCAACATCCTTCTCTTCTATAAATAGACCAGCATTAAGTACACTGTGCTCTACTTGTAAGGAACACTTCAGTTCTTTACATTCATACTGCAATTCTTTCCTCCAGTTTTCCATCTTTTCCTGCACTTCAAATTCTTTTGCAATTTGGTTTTCATATTCCGTTTCAGCATCTTCAACCTCCACCAACAGCGCCCTAATGTATCTTTTGAGCTTCTTCCTGCAACTAGCAGCAGCTTCCTCAATGGGTATCAGGGAGTGATGCTGGTGGTCTAAGGGGACCTTGCAATGAGGACATAACAATTCCTGGGCGTTGTCACAAAAAAATTTCAAAACCTCATTGTGCTTCCCACACAGGGGTTTTTCTTCCTGTAATTTCCTCTGGCTCCCTGTGGTGGGAATCTGCTTAACAATCTCAATCATGTGACATAATTGGGTGTTCCTCTTCAATTTCCTGTCAGGACAGTGGTGAAGGCAGACAGGGCAGGGAAAGGTGTCCTGCAGACCTTCCCAGCGCTGGTGGATGCAGGAGGGACAGAAGGTGTGCCCACATTCAATTGTCACTGGGTCTCTCAGGTAATCCAGGCAGATGGGACAGTTGGCCTCTGCCTGGAGCTCAGTCAGGGAGGCCGCAGACTCCATTGTGCAATGAAGGTATCTGACCCAAGACAGTCTTTTTAATCAGTGTGATCCTCCAGAAGTGAGAAAAATGAGTATGTGACCTTGGCAGGTCATACAGACTCCCACCTGGAATTTAAGGGGAGTTCATTAAACATTAGTCTGCTGCCTCCTGCACCCCCTCTGTTCAAATTTCCAGAAGCTGAGGTCTGCTCTCTGTGCAATGCAGTAGGAGAGTCCAAAAAGAGTCCCAGTTTTCAGCTGATGCCCAGACTTCCTGTGACTCTTGCCTGTATTTAATGCCTTTTCCCCCAATTGAACATGGGCTGTGGAGTCCTTGTGGTCAAAACCCCAGCACAATCTAAGTGATATGTGGTTTCTGTGGACAGAACAATATTGCCATTTAAAGAACAGTTCAATCAGCGATTAATCCTTATATCCCTGTATGAAAAAGTACCTCTGGCTGACTTAGCTCAGTAGCTAGAGCATCAGTCTGCAGACTGGAGGGTTCCGGGATCAATTCTGACCCAGGGCACATGTCCAGGTTGCAGGCTCAATATCCCGCCCCTGCCCCGCAAGTAGGGGATGTGCAGGAGGCAGACAATCAATGATACTCTCTCATCATTGATGTTTCCATCTCTCTCTTTCACTTCCTCTCTGAAATCAATGAAAAATATATTTAAAAAAAAAAGAAAAAAAGAATATGGTTCCTTAAATGTTAAAAAGAAAAAGTATCTATGGTAAACAAAATTATTTACCAGGACAATATTTAAGGAGGAGTTAGCAATGAAGACTATCATCTATTTTGCAACTCTAAATGAATTAATTGTTGTAGGGAAATTTATCATTGGCCTCAACTAAAAAGAGTAACAAAATACATATCATAGAATTGTTGAGGAGAATACATAACACTATTTGTGAAGAAGTTTTGACAGAAAAATGAATCTAAATCTCCACAGAGTTCAAACCACCTATTTACAGGAAATATAAGAATGGAGAAACCTGTGAAGGATAATCTTGTTAAATTTAGGAGTCAACTTGATTGAGCCACAGGCGATGCAGATAGCAGGCGAAACACTAGTTCTGGGTGTGACTATGAGATTTCTGGGAGAGATTAGTATTTGAATCTGTGGATGAACAAAGCAGGTGGCCCTCCCCAATGTCAGTGGGGATCATCCACTCCACTGAGGGCCTAAAGAGACCAAAAACTGGGGAAAGGTTGAATTCACTCTGCTGGATGAATAAGCTAGCACACTCACCTCCTGGCCTGGGTGTTGTTGGTTCTCAGCCCTTTAGACCCACACTGGAATCGATATAATCTGTTCTCATTCTCTGCTCTTCCAACTGCACCACCTTCTTTCCTGGGTATCCTGCTGGCAGAATACAGATCATGAGATATCTCAGGCCCCACAACCTTGTGAGGCAATAATCTACACTAATAAAAGAAAAAGATGCTAATTGACTGTACCTTCACTATGCCCCAGGCGACGCCCCCCAGCCAATCAGAGTGACTATATGCAAATTAACCCAACCAAGATGGCAGCCGGCAGCCACGGAGCTAAAGCAGGAGGCTTGGTTGCCCTGGTGATGGAGGAAGCCAAGCTTCCCGCCTGCCCTGAGCCAGCTGTGGCGTCTGCTCATGGCAACAAAGTTTCAATTATAGAAGACAAATAAATCCCAGATACCTGCTTCCAGTCAGCCTCCATTGGGAGCTTGGGTGGCTGGGGGCCGTGGCCAGCCTGCAAACAGCCAACAGCCCCTCACCTAGGATGGCCACACCCTCATGGGGTGAGGGTCCCCACTTGGGGGCTTGGCCAGCCTGCAAACAGCCCTCAGCCCCTCACCCAGGCTGACCAGGCACCCCAGTGGGGACCCCCATCCTGAAGGGGCTGTGGCCAGTCTGCAAACAGCCATCAGCCACTCACCCAGACTGGCCAGGCACCCCAGCAAGACCCCCCTACCCTGAAGGGACTGTGGCCAGCCTGCAAACAGCCATCATCCAGTCACCCAGGCTGACCAGGCACCCCGGCAGGACCCCCCTTCCTGAAGGGGGTGTGGCCAGTCTGAAAACAGCCCTCAGCCCCTCACCCAGGCTGGCCAGGCACCCCAGTAGGGACCCCCACCCTGATCTGGGACACCCTTCAGGGCAAACCAGCCGGCCCCCACTCATGCACCAGGCCTATATAATCTACAATAATAAAAGAGAAACATGGTAATTAGCGTACGACCGCTACCTTTCCCATTGGCTAATCAGCATATCCTTATGCAAATTAACTGTCAGCCAAGATGGCAGCTGGCAGCCATGCACTGAGCGAGCAGGGAGGCTTGCTTGCTCCAGTGATGGCGAACTCCAACGTTCCCCGCCTAACTTGCCGGCCTCTCAGCTGCAACTCTAAGCAACTATGTTGCAAATATAGAAGCTAAACAAAACCCCAGAAACGGGCTTTCAGTCAGCTGGGCTTCAGCCAGCCAGACCGCAACATTGTATCAATGTTTTCAGCAGAGGCCTCAGAGCTAAAGCTGGCCCAGAATAGAAAAAAACAAAAAAAACAAAAAAAAAACAAAAAACGAAAAAAAGGAGCAGTTGGGAGCTTCAGTCACCCGCCAGCCTGAAAACGGCCCTCAGCCCCTCAGCCAGACTGGCCAGGCACCCCAGTTAGGGACCCCCACCCTGATCCAGGACACCCTTCAGGGCAAACCAGCCGGCCCCCCACCCATGCACCAGGCGTCTATTCTATAGAGTAAAAGGGTAATATGCCTCCCAGCACTGGGATCAGCATGACAGGGGGCAGCGCCCAAACCCCCTGGTCGCCCTGCGGCTCTGTGAGTGACAGGGGAAGGCGCCCCAACTCCCTGATCGGCCCTGCTCTGTGCCTGATAGTGGGGAGCTCCCCAATCCCCTGATCGCCCTGCGGCTCAGTGAGTGACAGGGGGTGGGGCCACAAACTCCCTATCTCCCTGCTCTGTTCGTGACAGGGGAAGGCGCCACAACACCATCCCCTCTTATTTTTTTTTCTTTTTTTTTTTTAGCCCCCTGTTCACCCACCCACCCCCCACCCCCACCGCCCCCCGCCTTAATCGGGGTTCTGGGGGGTGGGGAGCCCCCCCCCCCCCCCCCCCCCTCCCCTTCCCCCCCCTTCTCCCCCCCCCCCCCCTCTCCCCTCCCTTAAGTCCGTATTAAATAGAATTTTAATAGGTAATGATGAATTTGTTTTTTCTTTTTCCTTTTTTTTTTTTGTGTGGTTTTTTTCTTAATAACTATCCGTGGTGTTCCCCCCTTTCCTCCCCCTCTTCTTTTTTTTTTTTTTTTGTTTTTTTCTGTTTTTTTTTTTTTTATTTTTATTTTTTTTATTTTTTCCCCAACCCCCCCCCCCCCCTTCTCCTTTTTTTTTTTTTTTTTCTTTTTTTTTTTACCCCACCCCCCCCCCCCTTTCCTTTCCTTCTCTTTCTTCTCTCTCGTCCCGTTAAGTTTTTCTTGGTTCTGTTGCTTTTGTTTTTTGTGGTCTCTCGCGGCTTGTCCCCCTTTATTTTTTTCCTTCCCAACCCCCCCCCACCCAACATCCCAAACAGGTTGTTCCATTTACTTCGCCTCCAATCTTTTCGATACCGACCGTAGTTGCGCCGCCCCAA